GAACAATACATTGTAAAGTATTGAGTTTAAAAGTATCAAATTGTTTGTTCAAAAGATTTTATCTCATTTACACTTTGTGTTGTTTACTAATTCAGTAACAATTTTACAATAACAAAATAATCCACATTCAGGTGTAGTTATAATTTTTTTCAATTTATATAATCACAGCTGTGTTTACACTAAATAAAAAACATACAATTAGATTCCCATGCTATTTAAATGTGAATTATTTTATTCCCTAACAAACCTTTTGGTGCATAATTAAGAAAAATGAACAATTTCCCCCAAAATTTCATGCAAGGACCTTTAAAATGAGACCTCTCCCAGTTTTCTACGACCTCCCGTTCGCTCACAATTTCATTGTAAAATTTTGGGCTTACGGAATTAGATGTATAGATATAATGCTTAAATGTTTAAATTGAAGTATTGAAATTTGGTAAAAACATGTAAATGTAAACATAGGCTAACTAAAACGAGTTCTCGAACCAGCATGATCGGAATATGGAAACGGTGTTTATGGAAGGACAGATCGATTTCCCGACTTTTGACCTAGAACAGTTACATTTCTTCTTTTTTCCCAAAATTATTACCTTTCCTGTAGCAGAAACACGTAATTACTTATTAAAACTAATGTTATTTAAATAAGGATTAGATCTGAAAAATATAAGGAAATATTTTAGTACAAATTGAATCAGGCAAATGGAAATTCGCTCAGGCTGCAGTTTTGCTATAAATAGGGGGGGGGCATGGATATTATTTGTAATATCTATAACTATTTATCTGCTCGTGTATTGCAGCTCGGTGGACACATGGGATAGATTAAGATTTTATACATTTTAAAATACTTTCACCCGAGGATGGGATCCAATCACAGATTCCGAAACGTCGTCTAACTTTTATTGTTCCTATTATTCCACTTTATTGTTTATTGTTCCACTTTTTTGAAGGACAATATATTTAGGCGTAGATAGACGGTGAAACCGCCTTTCTATCATAAACCGTTTGAGAGTTTAACGCGAAAACGTAAAACACTGACGCGCGCAACTTCCCCACCTCCCATCCGAGTTGTGACTATCCTAGAAATGCGACATCATCGATTTTTTTATCTATTAGATGTCCCCAACAATAATCAAAAGTCAAATTTTGTCAGACTTTCAGTGCATACTCAACTCGTCTGTTTATTTGTTTGTTTTATTACAAACAGGATACACCGAGTTACATTGCAGCATCAATACTCTAACAACAAAATCTTAACATGCATGATAAATAATAAATATGGTTAAAGTTCCTCTTGCTGAAGAGAATATAGCTATTAGTAATCATTCACAACAATACAATAGATGACAGAAACGAATAAATATCAATAAATAACGTATAATATCCTTAAAAATAGCATTGGCAATTAATTAAATATCTATAACAACAATAACGAATTAAATAAATAGGAGACAACAACAAAGTCTGAACATAGTAAATATCGTGTTTTGTACGGTTATTGGTAACGTAGAAAATTAAAAAAATGTAAATTTAAAATTCCCATTCTTATGGAGAATATTGTAAAATGTTGTAGTTTGCTTGTTTATGGATATATTTTTATGAAACTTGGCAAATTTATTTATTTTATATTAATCTATTAATATTTTACTAAAAAATATACCTACCTACTTTATTAGTTTCCTTGTATCAGAAAAAATAGGTACCGTACTCGTTTAACCTAATGTTATTTAAATAGACTTAATTGAAAATCAATTCAGACAAATGGAAATTGGCTTAGTCGGCAGGTTTGCTGCTGTGGGGGCTAATACTAATAAATTAGTATTAGTAGTAATCTCATTCGACGAAATGTACACGAAACACGCTGGATGATTCTGTAACAAGTCATGGACACAAGTACTACAGGAGTATTGGGCCCTATGTAACTCAAGCGAGGCAGTGTTCGCAATGTTTCATTGGCTATTTATTGGCCCATTGAGCGCTGGCAGGTGGCAACTCCTTGGACTCATTTGTCAAAGGTTTGCTCTACTGTTATTCTTACATCGTTCATATTTTCACCTTAGAATCAAACATATTTTTACTTGAGTTAAAAATGTTTCATATGTAAATCAGTGAAGCGTTGATGAACACGTCGTTAATTTGTTGCTGGATGTAATGACAAATAATTATACGCTAATGCTAATATAGTTAAAATTGATAAACACTGTAATTTTTAAGTTTTGTATAGTTTGGAGTTAAAGTAGAAAAATCTTAGTGACAAAAGATTATGTCAAGCCATGATACATTGTAAGAATGTTTACGATTCTGTGGCTTGTGCGACGTTTAGCTGTATGCACTTCATTATGTAATACTATCAATTTGCTACTAATTCACTTGTACACAATATCATCACTTCATCGTTTTGAAGATTCTGATCGTAATTTAAGGATTAATTCATAATTATTTTATTTTATTACGACTTATTTGTCCACTATTAAAGATAAATATGATGTATCGTTACGTTCTCTACATTTCCATTGCAGCATCATTAAATTTTCAATTATTCTCCAGATTAAAATTTCAGCCGCTTAAATATTTGTCAGTACGTTTTCTTAACTGAACATATGGTACATAGAAATAGATTCTATGCTCGCTGATGGCAACTTATTTGATAGTGTTTTCAAAGTATAAACAGTTTTAATATAAAATGGCTTCCGCAATACACTTATTGTAAATGTTATAACAATAAAATCACAACAATCAAATAGTTTAAGTATTTGTGTAATTAACGCAGCACAATCGTTAACATCGTTCGTGTTAGCGATTGTCATCATTGATTGACAATGCGTACAAGCAAATGTTGAACTTGCACAAGACAACCAAGTAAATTATCACTTGCAAATCGCTCTAGATCACTTATAATTGGGATTTATATCAAGAGTGACTTCCATTTTTATAACCGATGGAGGACATATTTTGCTTAGATTCTTATTAATAAAATACAAGCCTACGAAAATCTGTAAAAAACCCCATTCGACTCGTACATACAATAGACTGGTTTGATTTGCCCCCCACAAATTAGCAGCTTTGGATTCTGGCCCCCTCATCCTCCTAAGTACTTAGCAATCGATCAATCAATCAATTTGTTTATTGAACAAAAACAATTGATACATGCATTGTATAGGTGCAAAACCATACAAGGTTGGTCTTCACCGATTATTTATTGTCTGCTCTTATTATTTAGTAAGTTTATTTGTTTTCTTTAATATTTAAAATAACTTTAAAACTTTATAGAGAGGACCATCTTTTACTTTCAACCAGCATTTAATTGTATCAAGATTATGTGAAATTTCTTAACATAAAAGGAGCCTTTAATAGAAAAATCTACGACATCAACAATCATGCTCCGCATGTGAATATTAAAAAAACCCCGCCGCAGCAAACCTGCAGACTAAGCGAATTTCCATTTACCTGGCTGGATTTCCAAAAAAAATATACCCGGAATATTATCAGATTTCTTTCGTATTTAAATGACAATAATTTTAATGAGTACCTAGGTTTGCTGCTACAGGGAAGGTATTGAGGTGTGTTTTTGATTAAAATGTTGATAGTTTAGTACAAAATAAACAAAATTGCCAAATTTGATTAAAATATATCCATAAACAAGCAAACTACAACAGTGGGAATTTTAAATTTAAATTCTTTTAATTATCTTATTAACCGAGAAGATTAAGAAGGTATTTATCTTATTATCTTATTATTTTGTGATTATATTTTATTATTATATTATTATTATCTTGATATCTAACGAGATACTTATGTTATTATCTTATACCTTATTATTATATGTTATTATTTTGTACCTTACGACGAGTTGTATTTACGACGAGTGGAAAACAGATTACCTAAGATACTTCTTTCAAGTTACTTTCAGGAGCCGACAAAACTGACACTGATAATTTCAATAATTAACTTTTTTTACTTGACCTGCTGATAAATGCCTATCCCTATGCAGTTAGAAATAGTGATATTCACTTCCACAAAACCAATCAAAGGAAATATTTTCATGGAATTAGAACATATATTTGTCATACAGAAATTGGCCCATTTATAATGCAATATACTTCAATCAACTTCAATTTGATTTAAAAATAAATTATTGGAATAATATCAGGCTTTCCGAATTAAAACCGACCTTACGATCTCAATTTACATCAATAAAGAACTACTTGATCGACGTAATTTCCTTTCATGGGAAAACACATTTTATGTCTGTGTGTTTGTATTTTGAAATGCAATCAAAATAAATAATATTTGATTTCCCATTAATTATAAACATATTAGTACATTGTATTTTCTTTTACTGAAATATAATGCAGCAAACATTACTAACTAGATAACAAAAAAAAAATTTTATACTGTAGAAATAAAGCGAACAAAGGTGTAAAAAAAATACCTTCTATAACAAAGGAAAAAGTCTACATAGGCAGGGACTGTGCGTAGACTCGAGGTTTTATGACTATGTTAAGGCATAAGTTACTGCTTGTTTATGACGATTAATAGATTTTATTTGATTTAATTTGACTTTGTAAATTTTAGTCATATATTATTTTATCCAATTACACACATAAACTATAATGGGATCATATAGTCTTCCCAAGACACGACCTATCGAAATAATTCATGTTACGAGTTATGTCCAACCACGTAGGTTTCTCATTCACGTTTCCAAACACGAAATAAACTGCAATGATCTATTAATAATGCCAAAGGGGCCGACAGTTTAGGAATGCTTATATTAGCAGGGTCAGTTCTCAATCAACGAGTCAGTCCAGTCCAGGACCCGGAAAGTTTGTTTATTCAGGCCTAGACACCTACGCACTCTAGGAGGTTATCCTCGCCGAATATTCTTATTCACAGGGCGTTCCGTTTCCGACAGCGGGAGTAGGAACGAGATATGAGGCAAGATTGGAAGTGTCAGGGAAGTGTAGGAAGATCAGTTGCCATGTTAGGGCTCGGCCTTGAACGTAGTAACCGCCTAGCCTAGTGGCCGCAGAGACGACTGAGGAGCTAGTGGCCACCGCGCTTCCTGCAGAGATGGTCGACGTTAATGTGAGTACATAATACACTGTATGCAATACGTAATACAATACACAACTTTTCGCAAAAGAGGAATTCTACTTTTTCCAAAGGTTTCAAGGATTATTCACAAATCGACAATTGAGTTTGATTATGATTATTAATAAATATAGTAAAAACAGTTCTTAAATTATTAAATTTAGTCCAGGCAAATTAGATCAAATATAGGGAGTGCTCCCCAAAAAATCATCTAAAGCTGGAAAGTGTTTTAATACCTTTTGGGGGTCCCAGATAAGAGTCGTGTGAGTTTGCGACGGATTCTGAAGTCTGCTTAAGTTTTGGGAGTCGAAAAACTATGAAAATTTTGCACTTTTTTCAGTATTTCGCTTATAACTCCTAAATACCGAATCCTACGGAAAATGTTGTTCATAGGTCTCTTTTAGTAAATTAAATGACCCAACTTAGAAAAGCTACAACGGCTGAATGGCTCGGCCGATTGTTACGTATTTAACACCAATCGACGCAAAATTTAATGCTTTTTAAGGTAATAAATGTGATATTTTTAAGGTGACATTTTAGTGTAAATCCATCAGGCAAATAGAAATTCCCTTAGTCTGCAGGTTTGCTGTGGCAGGGGTATTTCTCCCGTATTTCTGTTACTGTGATAGTATATGTGACACAGATTCTACATTTTACTGTAACTTGTCCTTTACTTTGATTCGATTAAGAAGTTTGCATATTCAACAGAACTCAGAATTTTACATCAGCACAATCTGTCGGTGGTTCACTTCTACTACGTGGATGCTTATTCTAAAGTTGGCTTCAATTTTATCGTTGGAATGGAATAGTTCTATAAATATTTAAAGATATTACTCATAGCATAGCTTTACATAAGCGATGTACATCCTAAGGATGTTAATGGATTGTCAGTTTATTGAGTATGTCTTTTTTTGTAGTTTTTAATATTAAATTCGATCGATGGCTGAAGATTGACTTGTTTTTTTATATTTCGGCTATCTTTAGCAATACGAATCGTCTAGAGCTGAAAAACACTTGAAGTAATATGAAATTTGGTGTGATTTTAGGAGAAATGGATCATCACAGGACCTCTCTCTAGAGACTTTATCAAAATTATAGATATAAAAAAGTGTTTTAACAAAAATATTTAAACTTCATGTTATTTTACTATTTTTGTTGTACAACAACTTTGCCTCTGGAATAGAGTACGAGGGTTTAGTTGTCGTGCACCTCAAACTGTACAAATCAAGCACTGCTTTGCAGCACTGTCTTTTAAACCGATAGTCAAGTTCTGTATAATGTCTAGTTGGTCATAATTACAATATGGCAGTACAATATAATATTAAATGCGATTTTAAAGTATTTGAAGCTTTTTTTGTACCCTTTTCCAAACAACATGTTTTATCTAAAAATATATTAAAATAATTTATAGATATAACATGTACATATTATACCAACAATTATTAATCCGTTTTTTAAATTCAACTTTAGCAGTTGCGTTATCAAACGTAACATAACATGTGTGCTTTATTGTTCGCATTTTCGCAGGTGGGTAGTTTTTTGCTCATTATAAATGCACAGTAACATCTAAACATTCTATGCAAAATTACTTCCAGAGATTATCTTGTTAAAAAACTCATTTGGAAAAACCTAGCCTCTTGGTCCCATTAACCGTTTCAAGGGCGGTCGCCTTATCATATCAATAGGCTGATGACTTTTCGGGCTATTGGTTTAGATTCACTCTCGAATTTCTCAGTATAGGCTAGGGGTTTATGATAAAGTCTGCTAACAAGAATATATTTACAATTATGGAGCCTTGCGCATATCTTACTAAATTATATAAACTAAAATTCTTGAGTGTCTTGTTAAACTTTTTCTTCGAGATTTTTAATTTATTTTCCTATACATTTAATAAACAGATTATTCATTTACAAACTGTCAACTATACGTATGAACAATTTAGAACGATTTAGACAGTATCTAACATTAATTATTGTATAATGTTCGTGAATTAGATGCATTGACGAAAATAGTATAATATCAGTACAGTTCACCCCTTGTACTGTACCGGCGGCTCATATTCGGATAAATTATTTCACTAGAAAGTTTATTTACTAAGAAGCTACTGGTATTGTTAAAACAAATGCACTCACAAGCTATCTGGGGACTAGTAGCATAAGCATATCTTACAGTGTCCTTACTAAGGCAATTCAACGTGAGCGTTTAGCAGTCAAGACTCATTGTGGTTAACGACTTTGTAAATAACAAAACAATGGTTCGTAGAAAACGTTAAACTGTGAAATGTTCGCTAAAAATACTTACCTAAGTCCCACCATTGTGATGTGTAGCGCAAGGATTTGAAACATTTACTAAACACAATAATTGAATAAACGCAGGCTTGTAATATCTTTAGCATTAAAACTACAACGGTAAATTTTTGTTATTGCGGACGTTTCTCGTCGCAATTAGTAAAATACTAAGTATTGTCGAGATTTGGACTCTGATCCCGTCCTTGGGTGAGAACCCACCTAAAACAACAAGAGAAACGCACAACATATATTAATACATAAACCATTTTGTTTTATATTAAGAGTCTTCATCAGTGGTAGCCATATTGGATTTTAGTCCCGTAAAAGTAAAATAATAATAATCTCGTAATAATAATAATTATAATAATAAATAATAATAATAATAATAAATAATAATAAATAAATGAATAATAGTAATAATAATAAATAATCCCGTAAGTGTTAAATTTGACAGAACATACCATCATTTGAAGCAGCATGCCGGTATTATTTATAAAGATATAGTTTTGAAAATGAATAATTATGTTTATAACATAGAGTACTAGGGAATGAGGAAATGATATTTCAAATATTTGTTTTTGTCTTCCTTAGTAAATTATTTAATTAAGGCTTAATTAATGATCATTAACTCATTATGTGGAGGAAAAATGACAAATCTAAAAACCTCACTCCCTAGAGGATCACCAAACCTTAATTTTAACACCTCAATCATTATTTTATCACAACAGGTTTTTTAAAAATTCTGTTACAAAGTTAACATTGCTCTTATGGGACTAAAAACAATTATGGCTACCACTAATGAAGACTCTTAAGAACAAAAAATCCTAAGAGAACTTAATAATTAATATAAATAGTATATAGGTAGGAAAACACAATGGTCACGACTGCAAAAATTTGATGAAAATGTTTGCTTATGCTGTCAATTAGTAACCATGTAAAATACATTCACGTTTTAGCGAATTCCCCATACAGGGGATCAGCTATTACCGTCGGTCTTATGGTACGACCTGAACCCAGAACCGATTTATTATGTTTTTATTTTTGACGTCCCCAGTGGCCAAAAACACCATCCGTGCAATTCATACATACAGGGTGGCTGAAAAGTAACTTGCACCCCCCCCCTTAACTTTTCAACCATTTGAGGTATTCAAAATCAGTTTGCGGCAACCTTCTTAGATATGAGGGGCTACAATAATTATGGTAAATTTTGAAAACTTTGCCCTTAGGGGTAGCGGGGGTAGGGGGTAGCTCAAAATTTTCAAACGACAAGTATAGTCGAGTTTGGTATCATTTTACAGGTCTTGACGAAAAAAAACAATCGACATAAATAAAACTAAAATCGGCCCACTAATAACAAAATGGCGCCCTAAATTATATGAAATCCAAATAACCATGAGGGTGGATGAAAATTAACTTGCACCCTCCTTTATCTTTTTAACTATTTGAGATATTTGAAATCGGTTTGCGGCCAGGAAGTGGGGTCAAGTTTGGTATCATTTTGCAGGTCTTGACATAACTAAACAATTAACATAAAGAAAATTGAAATCGGACCACTAAAAAGAAAATGGCAGTTAAAAATTACTTTTAATAACCATTGTCTTAATGATTTTTAGCTGTCATTTTGTTATTAATCGTCCGATTTATATTTTCTTTATGTTAATTGTTTAGTTATATCAAGACAGTGGCGGTTCTGGGACCTTGTCAAGGGGGGGCTACCGGGGGGCTTGGGGGGTGTGGAGCACCCCACAATAAAGCAGGGGGGTCCGGGGGTCATCCCCCGGGAAAATGTGGAATTTGCAAAGCCGTTTGGTGGTTGTTTAAAGCCATTTTTAACACCTAAAACCGTGCCCAATTGTCCATAAACTCCATTTCACCTGTTGTTTGTCATGAGCAAATGTAGAAATTTTAAAATAAATTAAACTATGACGATTGCATTCATGAATTTCAAAACACACTGTAGACTACGGCCATATTTCCCTAACAGCTGTTTACTAACTTTCTAACGCCATTATTAAAGTGGATCTGTGTCCAACTGTCCAAAAACCTCCCATTTCGGCCATTTCACCTGTTATTTTTGTCTTTTTCATGAGCAAGTAGACATTTTAAAAATCAAACTATGACGAAGTTGCATTCATGAATTTCGAAACGTAGGCCTATTGTAGATTACGAAGCCATATCTCCTAAAAGCAATTTGGTTACTTTATAAAGCCATTTCTAACGTCTAGAACTATGCCCAATAATTGTCATAAAACCTTCCATTTCACCTGTTATATGTCATGAAAGCAAGTAGACACTTTTTTAACCTTATACGTTTTTCTCCATTTCATAGATCTGTCACAATTATATAGTATCGAATTCAGTAATAGCATTGACTATACACTTTAACACTAGTGTTTATATATTCAATGGTAATAGACTACTGGTGCTACGATTGATGTCTATGTAAAGTTAGTGGCTAGCAGACAATTTGACAACTAACTATGGAACATCAGGAAATCAGCTGTTTCCCCGTCCTCGCTCGCGCGCTCGGCACCCGCCTTTGTCCGCTGTAAGCGTGTCAACAGCTGACTGCTGTAAAGGTTGGTTGATGCGTACAACACTTTCCAAAGCGTAATATTGTTTTATTCGTTGTGCTATATTGTCCAAAAAGTTTATCTATGTGGAACTTAATGCTACTCCTGTCATCGCTTATTAAGTTTAATAAAA